ACCCGGAGACTCCAACTGGTCCAGAATGCGGCCGCGCGGGCGGTGTTGGGAGGGACTCGTCGCTCCCATGTGACACCGCTGCTGCGCGAGCTGCACTGGTTACCAGTGGTCTTCCGGGTGCGCTTTAAGGTGTTAGTTACCACCTTTAAAGCGCTCCATGGCATCGGACCTGGCTACCTCCGAGACCGCCTTCTGCCACGGATTCCCTCCCATAGACCGGTATGCTCCCACAGAGCGGGCCTCCTCAGGGTGCCGTCGGCCAAGCAATGTAGGCTGGCGACCCCCAGGGGGAGGGCCTTCTCTGTGGGTGCCCCCACCCTCTGGAATGAACTACCCCCCGAGATCCGGATGATTCCGGATCTCCTTACTTTCCGCCGCGCCCTCAAGACATGGTTTTTTCAGCAAGCGGGCCTGACCTAGGGAGGATTTTAGGTAGGGATAATTTTAAAAGTATTTTAATCGGAAACACAGCTGGTAATATTTGGTTTTAATTCGGCTTTTATCGGGGTTTATTTTTTGTATTTCTGTATTTTTGTATTTTGTATTGTTTGTATTTTGTGTATACTATTTGTTTTTAATATGCTGTGAACCGCCCTGAGTCCTATGGGAGAAGGGCGGTATACAAATTAAATTATCTATCTATCTATCTACTTCATTCCAATCCAAGAATAGACACAGTATTCTTACAGGGAAAGAATGACTAGCTGCACTGATCCGTTAACATTAGGAAAACTATTTGTTTTATTTTATTAAACAAATTTATACAGCCGCCCAACTCACACACACATTGATACTATACAGCCCAAGATATAATCCAATTACAGTCCTGTAATTCAGTTAAGTCTATATCAATAATTAAAAGCAACCAGCAATTTTGTCCTCTAGTATACTGTATCTTAAAATACTTCAACAACATCTTCAGGTTCACAACTTGTCAAATTGAGTAGCCTTCACTAACAATACTACAACTAATATGGATCTGAAGCAAGTTCATTCATAAATAAAAATCGTTCTAAAACACCTGGAGTAAAAAGGAAGTAGAGAAAGAAGGATAATTTTAACAAAGAAAAGATCAAAAATATGTTTTTCTTTTGACCAAAAATCAATAGTTTGTGCTACAAAATTATTATCATTTTTAAAAAAAGTAAAAATCCTTACAGCAAAATATTGGCATCCTGCTCTTCTTCTGAATGCACAGGCTCCATCAGGATCATTTTCTTCTTCTGGCTCAGATATTGGTGAGGATACCTAGAAGCCAAAGAAAACTAATTTAAAAACAAGATTAGTTTTATCATTCCTGGTGAATATTTCATTCCTTGGCTATGCAATTCAACATATTTAAACCCAGGAAATAGACATTTAAAAGTAAAAATGAAATTCAACAACAGCTTCTGAAAAGGCTTCTTGATAATAGTTTGTATTACATTCAGAGAGATCAAACGCCCAAAGATCCCAGTGAATTTTCAAAAACTCAGCTAGGTAGGTTTTACTTATTTTTACAAACCTAACCTTTCTTTGGATTCAACATTAATGTTAATATAATGTATGGTATTTTATCCAAATGTACCTTTAGTCACAAATCCTTTTTTTTTTTAATTTTAGAAAGAAAACCTTTCAAATTTACATTGCTTCCCCCTCAACCCACCCCTGTTTCTATCCAAATATAAATCAGGATTCTTCCACTTACATATAAAAAAGATCTGCTTTATAATGTGGCTGACATGTATTACCTGGGGGAATTCATCTTCATCTGAACTGTGGAAGTCATATTGTTTGATATCACTTTTACTGATCACAGGCAAGGGCTCAGTAGTAGACTGCGGAGGATTTATTACACTCTCAAGTTTAGGCTTCTTTGGATATTTCTTCTTTTGACGGACAACATCAGACACTTCCTCTTTTAGAGATGAATGGTGAGCATGCTGTTTGTATACAGTAAATTTTGGACAAAACCCCCCACATTGTTAATCATTACCTGATTTTCATGAGATAGTAAATAACTTTTTCTCCAATTGCTCCCCCCAATTATATTTACAAACTCCGAATAAGCAGTACTCAGAGCATATATTATCCAAAGATTTAGATATATTATTTATTGTATTTATCTTATGTATCGTTTTAAACTATCATTTTAACTAACATTTTAAACATTTAGTATTTTTAAAGAATTTGTGTCTAGTATGTGATGTTTCTCCCCAGTGAAAAACATCATTTCAAAAGGATCTTTCTCCTCTCTTCAAATTTAATTTAAAAACAGCTAAAGCAATATTACATTTTTAAGATTTAGATGAGCTTAGCATGGAAAATAAGAATAGCCCAAATAAAGAGTGGTAAGTGCCTACAATCTAATAACCACTAGATGTCATCAAAGTTAAAAAATAAATACCAACATTTAAACAAATCTAATATTTTAAAAAATATTTGGAAATTTTCAAAAACAATGTAATGATATTTCCTATAAATAATGGAAACCTAAATGCTGGTAAGCATGGCAATTAATCTCTGAAATAAGTACAATTCCACTATTACATGGATATGACTAATGTGTTAGAAGATTTTGTTAAAATTGTTAAATAGATCATCAAATAATTAACATGTACTGAAACATTTTTGTAATCATAAAATTGTCACAAACATATTTTAATGATTTTTAAAGAATCCTAATGATGCATTTATCATGATATTTAGAAGCAAAACTAAATCAAAATACTAGTGTGAAAATGTATAAGAGGCAATATTATTCTGTCAGAGATATGTTTAATGTAGAGTGGGCGGGCAATCCAAAGCCTCCAAGCACCCAAAAATATATTTTTGTGGCATTTAGATACTGTGCTGTTAACAAAAATATGAAATCTTCATTGAAACTTAATACGTATACCCTGACCCACCACAAAATATACCATCCTCTGGAAATTATCTGTTCTACCATCCCAATATCTTTGGTTACAAAAAACTTTCCTTCTCTTTCACTAACAATTGTTCAGCTTTTGAGGAATAAGTAGATGCAATTAAGAAAAACTATCTAGCATAAAGTTGTGAAAATGCTGTGTAATGGGTTATATATGCAAGCTTAAATACACTAACTGATATTCTTACAAGGGTATCAGTGAGATTGGCACAAACAGTAGGAACTATGCACTAGCATTAACAATACTGAATCTGAAGTTGTTAACGCTCTAAATTCAAAAACTGCCAGTTTCCCAGATCAATTAAAGTTGATTTTCAAACAGCTAGTATCATATAACTGATTGCATTTATTTACTGTCTAATGTACAGAATGCTCAATTTAAATTTATTTTTATTTTGCTTCGATTTCATCAATGGAAATAAACATAACAGGATAGGAGAAAAGAACCATTAACTGTATGTTTGAAAAGCCTCTCATACTTCCCACATTAACTAGCTGAAACATCCCTCTAATTAAGCAATAAATATAACCACTAAAGTCATTTACCTACCTTAACTTTACATTCTTGAACTTTGTGATGATTTCCATTATGAAGTGCTGCAGGAGTGGTGTTCATCTCTTTCTCAGTTGAATTAAGCTTAACTTCATTAAGTATTTCTCCTCCATAATCACCCAAATGATATCTTTTAAAAGAGTGAGAGAGCTTATAGATCATAGAGATAGCACAATAAATGAATCTTTTTGAGAAATGTTTTTATTTTGCACAAATCCTACAACCAGTTCTGATCGTCTTTTAAAAGACAGAAGAGCAGATGAGAAATATTATTTTGCTTAAGATCCTTTTACGACCGATGAAAGATGGTATAATATTTTACACAAGCTGCTATATTTGTTAATTAAAGCAACTGCATTTAACAGGTTAAATATACTACAGATAATCCTCAATTTATGATAATAACTGGACCCAGAATAATAGTTGTAAATTGAGGTATAACAGATTTGCCTGAATTTGAAATTATGACCATTTTTATTATCTTTGTTAAGCGAATACAGCAGTCATTACGTGAATCATTTTCCCTAATGGGTGGAGGGGTTTTGCCAGAAACCAGAAATAACAAAAAACGCAGCAAATCAGTCACATGACTGCAGAATTCTGCAACTGGCCATAAAGGCAAGCCAGTAACCAGGACCTCAAAATGTAATCATGTGACTGCAGGGTGTGGGTGTCCACCATAATTCTGAAAACAGATCATTAGAAGCTCTCTGGCGATCCTTCGTAATTTTGAACAATCATTAAGCAACTGGTCTTAAGTTGAGGACCACCCATATACCATTTAGAATGCGATATGATCTTTCTTGATAAGAGTGATTAACTTGGAAAAAGTTTTACCTTTTCTCTACAACTTCTAATGTCAAATGTAGTAACTCCCGTTTTGTTTTCTCTCGTCTCTTAATCATCTCTAAAATTGTTATGGCTCTACTGAACTCTCGTCTTAGTTTCAGCATCTTCTCATAAGAGGCTTCATCATTTTTTCGATTCTGTTAGAAAGAAGTATCTGAATGAAAAATATATCTCGAAGATGTAGTCAGACCAAGTTTAAACTTAACTTTACATAGCTTTTAATAATACTGAATAATATTTGGAGGGGTTAAGCCAGAATATTTGAAGCCGAACTGTCATTCTTCATTGCAGCTTCTGGAACAATCAAGGGATAAAAAACCATGCAGAATTGGAAATGCCAGTCTGAGAAGGGAGGGAGGAATCACCAGAATCATCTTGCCTAAGAGAGAGATTCTTTTTGCGGAACACACTTTTAGATCCAATCTTTAATGAACAAATATGTAAAAAATACTTGTCTGGTGAATTTAAATACTAAATAAATACTAAATTATGTCTGTTTATATTATGTCTGTTTGTATTCATGTATCTTTTTTCACGAGCTCCAGGGATTTCTATGTCATGTATATACTATACTTGCCATTTTATTTGAGAAAGGAAACTATTTTTTAAAATTATGCTTTAAAATTAAATATCCCAAGCACCCTATGAATTCATATAATGAGTCATGCATATCCAAATCCAAATATCTCAAAAATCATGAAAATACAATAAATTCGTAGAGGTATTTTAGTACTATAATGTAGTATCTCATGAGTTTCCACAATCTTACATTTGGGCAATTAAAGAAGTTGGCCTAGGTATGCCAACACCCACAGCTATCACAATAAAGCCCTCTCGTGTCACTTTCTCACAAATTCCATTCAACCAAAGCATATGTTAAACAGCCTACTAAAGTTTGCTATGCATGTTCTTAAAATTCGTATGTGTATGTGCTTGTTGAATGTATATGCATACAATAATTTAACACATGCCTTAATGAATTCATTTGCCTTTCAAAGAAAAGGTAAAATAGTGGTTTGGATATAAAGTTGTCTGCGATCCATAAAATAAATGTTTTATGTGCAGTCTGATCCACCAGGAAAATATGAGGGTAAATGTCCCACAATTAGATAAAGGGACACTCAATTCTCATAGCAGCTCCTTACAAAAACCCACATATTAAGAGCAGTAAATTATTTTCTGAGAAAGATTGTATTATTTATTTACTTTTATTCAGATTGTACGTCTTTTAATAAGGGATAAGTTCTCAAAATGGATAGTAACTTAGTGTGTAAGCAGTATTTAAAAAGCACACATGCAACTTTTCGGGGGGGGGGGAAATGCCCGCTAAATTCAGTAACCGGTTGCAGCACATTTAGCAGCAATAAATTGCTTACTGAAGTTTGTAGTCAGTTTTTCACATTGCTATGTAGACATTTGGGGCCATTCTTCAATAGCGACACGCTGAAAACCTGCTGAATTGAGAAAATTACCTTTCTTGTCTGCATTTTCTCAGTTCTCCTCCGAAAAGCCACATAGGGATCATTGTTGGTAGAACCATCTCTTTTCTCTTGTTTGATTTGGGGGATGAGGGATGGCCCTCGGCAGTTCTTACGTTTCCTTACCCAGTAGTCATAGACAGCCTTAATAAGATAATCATCCTCATTTAGCAGCAATTTAGCTTCCTGAAGTGTTACAAGCTGAAAAAGATACAAAAACATATTTCTATAACAATCACGTTAGAGATTTTAGTAGCTGTTCTTCACAATAATTCAAGATGTGAATTTTGTATGAAGAAACGTAGAGACAATACCGTATGTATATAAGCACAGTTAACATAATACATTTCTCCAAAATTTCTTCATGTACTTACAACTAATAAGAGAAATGTATTATGTTAACTGTGTTTATGTATGTATAGCATATCGTACATTCCCTAGATACATCCTCTGCAGCTCTTGCATGGCAATTTAAAAAAAAAAAAAAAGCACAAGGAAATTGGTCATACTTCTAGTAGCAAATACTACTGTAATCATTGGAATGACACAACAGAATACAATACAATTAGCCTCATCAACACGCGTATAAATTATCAAGAACTAAAACCTAACTTGTCTACAATTTTAAATGTGAACCAAATAATTGTAATTTTATCCATCAGCTTCTCAAGTATTTAAATTAAGGTGTTAAATTTTCCCTATGTCTAAGAAAGATTTTCAAGAGTTATTGCATATTTTTTTATTTTATTCTTCTTAGGAGCTTAGCAAGTACTTTTGAATTTTATATCATAAAAATGGTGCGTGTATAAATGCCTTAGAATTTATAGCAAATATGCTTCCAGCCTTCTAATCAGTATGAGATCTGTCCTGAATTCTAATCTATACACACAAACCCTTCAATGAATATTATTTCGCTTTCAAAACAGAATAGTCTGCAATGTTCAGATTATTTTAAAATCTATTTTTAGCTAAATCATTTCCTCTTTTTGTTGAAGGAAAAACAAACTGGAAATGTCAATCCTTCATTATATATAGGTGTGTTATTGCAATTTAAGGCTATAATATTTAGACTGATAAAAAATTTTTACTTATATGTAAAATGATTATAAAGACAATCACGATGTTTATAAATAGATTGTGTTCAAACTGAGATACAGAAAAAAACACACTGAAAGAATGAATTACGCTGTTGTGGAAATAAAAATAAGTCTGCAGGAGACGGTCTCTAGGAAGCTTTTCCGCTATGGCAAAAATGGAAGAAACCCCCAATGTACTCTGATCAAACTAAAATTAGTCCTTTCTAATTCCCCTTACAACATACGAGATTTCAGTTAGTTACAACCTATTTATATCACTGATTTAAATGGGACTTCAATGTAATTAACTTTAGATTGGAATTTATTCAGAAAACCTTTCAAACCAATTACCTAGCAACTCTTAGCTTTTCTTTCTAAAGACTTATCTATTCCCAAAATCAGATTTCTGAGCCGATATGAATTATAACTCACATTCATCCTCCCTCAAAAGTTTCTTGGTAATCTATTTCAAGGACAATATTTCTTAGATAAAATAAAGTAATTTGATCTGCTTATTTTTGTTACCTTTTTTTTAATTAAGCACCCAGAAGTTCAGGGTGGTCATGAATTCTGAAAGGTGACATCCTTACATGCAAAAATAAATTGTATGAATTGGTTCTCAATTTCCGAATGGCAGATTCATTGGTTTTACGTATTTTGTGCTGCAAGGTCTATTAAAAGTTCAAAACCCATCCCTGAAAAATTATTCTTTTTTTGTACTGATATGCATCTGCGATCTATTGACTATCATAACCACAAACAATTGTTCTTTCAAATATAAATTTCATTTAATGAAAAATTCACTTCATAGCAGAAAGACCAGACTTCTTACTTTATAGCAGCTATGTACATTTTACAGTATCCTGCATTAAAATATTACACAAAATCTAACTCAATTCCTTTCTCTTTCTGGTATTTTTAAAAGCAAATATATATTCCAGATATTTTGAATTATTTTTTTATTATGAACCAGTAGACTTTCTATTGGATTAAATTAAATAACTTCCAATCCAAAGAGTGGAGACCTATATCTATATTATAAAAGGCAATGGCAATGTTAATACAAATAAGCCAATCAGTTCAGCACACTCCTTTCCCTTTCATGCTACCTGGTCTCATTTTCTACACAAATTACAACGTAAGGATCCCAGCTTTTCTGATTTTGAAATCTTACCACTTGGCAATATCAAGAAGTTGAGGATTAATGTGTCTAAAGATTTCATGTTTTAAAGTAGAGTAACAGCTGAAAAATGTTTAGCTTCATAAAAGGTATGTGGGCCTTTTTCTACATCAACTTATTTACAATAATTAAAAAGACACTGAATTCTGGAATAATTTAAGTAATTCAAGACAATTTGAATACAGAAGTTGGAGATTAAGTGATATATGGATGGTTCATACTGGAGAAATGGACATGTATTAATCAATGAAGGAAATAACGGGTAAAATAATGTTCCCCCAATACTTCAAATGTAACATTCATGGAAATCATTGCTTTCTCATTGCATTCATCACAGCTGCAACTGGAGCACAGCCATAGTAGACTAAATCACTACCTGCCTAAAATCATCTTGTCCTCTTGTCTGAAACAGCTACTATGTGGCATAGGAAATAGCTCTCAAAGTGAAACAATTTCCACACACAAGTCAAGGCCACTAAATATTATGGTAGAGATATACACAAAGTGGGGAAAAAGAGCAGCAAAGAAAGGAAAACTCCCCAGACAAAGTACTCCTTGAATAATTTATGTCATAATATTTCTTCTTAATTTCTTTATAAAATATGAAGGATACATGTTTAGCATTTCTAGTAATAAGAAATTATTCATGCATTATAAATAAAGGCATCCGCAAAACTTATAAAAATTCAATCTTATCTGCAACTGCTATAATGAAGAGGTGGATGGGGGTGTTGAATTCATGATACCTGATTAGAACTAGCTTTTTCAAGCCTGTCTATCATAATTTCAAATTGCAGTGGTTTGATTTCCATCTTCCGATTAAGCCGATTTAATAAAGTTTCGTCTTCTGAGTCCATATCATAATCAGGTTGTTCATTGTCTAGATTAAAGGCTGAAACACAGAGAAAAAATATTTTAATTTAAAATGGCATGCTTTAATGGATATAAGTATGCTAATGAATTATATGTAGCGGGGGTGGGATTGGCTATTTAGTTCACGTATTGGAGTCAAAAGACATATTTTTATTACTGGTCAAGCCATTCCCTTCACCACTGAGGAGAAGTTAAGAAAGATTATATGTGTCAGAGCCCCAGAGCACCTGACTTGTAGAAAAATAGGTATTAAGAAACTAAGGCAATATAGCATTTTTACTTAAAAAAAAAAAGAATCATTAGGATTAATGAAAAGAAAAAAAAAGGTACAGTTTACAAAACATTTACAACAAACCAAGTTGTGAGATATTGGATCTTAATACCCTAAGTCAGTAGACTGTTGTAAACACATTTTCAAAGCCACATAATAAATTACAACAGAGATTAGAGAAAATCATACCACAATTTTAATTCAACCATGACTCTTATAATGATCACTTTACTTATCATTTCTTTACTGGTATTTAGGAAATACTAATTTTAAAAATTTGTATTGATTATTACTGATTGTATATACTAGTGATGGTGAACCTTTTAGAGACCAAGTGCCTAAAAACTGGTCCTGCCCCCGCTCCACCCCTGCTCTGCCCCGCCTGCCTGCAGGGCCACTCATCGCCTCCAGGGCTCGCTGCAGATTGTCCAGCAGCACCATGGCAGCCACGCCCTCTGCCCGCGCCCTGCAGCATCAACTGTGAGCGATGGGGCATGAGGGCAGAGTCTTGTCTACGCTGCCTGGCTGCCATGTCCTTGGCTGCACTGCTCTGCGTGGGCCATGCTCGGGGGTGACTCCTTCTCCAGGAGGGCTATTGGTAAGGAGGCGGTCACGGGGGGAGGCAAGGCTGGGGCAACGGCACGTGTGCCCACAGAGAGGGCTCCAAGTGCCGCCTCTGGCACCCGTACCATAGGTTCGCCACCCCTGGTATATACTATCTGTTAAATTAAATGCCGCCCATATTACGGTTAAATAAAAAAAGTTATATCCTGCCTTCATTTTTATAAAATTTTTGAATATAAAACAACAATGAAATCAATGTAACTAAAATAAAAAACAAAAAATTAAAATACTTTTCATTAAATTAACAAAGGCTTTGGGAAACAGATACACTTCAGCCTCTTTTCTAAAGTTTCTGATATTTGAAAGCAAATACTTCTTGTGAAGTGTATGCCATAGGCTAGGCAACACCAGAGAAGGGCCTCTCTGGCATAGCGAGCATCTTGACAGCAGAGAAATCTGACAAGTTTATTAAGCTATGATTTAAACTTTAGAGCAAGAGATAATACCCTTTCAATGCCTGGGGGTTACTCACCTCATCCAGTGTTGAGACCTTGAGTTTACAGATTTTTTTCCATGGGGGGGGATTTAAAAGTAAGCCTATTCTAAGGCTTAAAATATTAAAATAATTCTTATTGGACAGAGTACCTGCTTTCTATCCATTTCCACGCTAAAAATAAATATATAATGGATGATTTTTGCATTAAAAATGCAAAAGAAGTTTTCGAGTAAAAAATAAACTCATTAAAAACACCACAATTGTCTTCCATAATCAGCAAAATATTTAACTACTCTGGTATCAAAAAATGACAATTTATGAAATTCCTTGGAAAGCCATAGTAAAGTTTTGATGAAAACTATTCATATATCTGTCAATGAGAAAAAGCCTCTGAATAAGTAAGTTACATTTTAATCACCACACTTTTATTATGATAAAATCTATTCTTATCAAATTTTCTAAACACAAGCACAGTTCCAAATACGGAAGAATGCAAATTACGTTCCTGAAATAATCAGTTTAAATCTTAGTTATTTGCTTCCCTCCATTTAAGAATTAAAATTTAGCTTTGGGCTTTCCCATCTTTCCCAAATGGATAGTTAATATCAGCAAAAGTGATAAAAGATAAGCAGACAAGAAATACACTGTTTTTACACATCATCAATATGTACACACATCATTCACATACCTGTTCATGAACCTTGGTATTTTGAATTCTTTTAAAACAAAACGTAATAGGACAGGATAATATAAAAACGATAGCAAAGCAGAAATGTTAATATTAAAACTAATTTTAAAGATATGAAAGACCTGAACGATCTTCAGAAGTATTAAAAGGAGAACAGACTAGAAGTCAGGTAAATTTTCTTAAAAGAATTCCTATTTGCCTCATAACAAACAGGAAACCTGCAGAGAGACCTTACATTTAAGCAGGTTATCTTACACTTCTGTTGGGATCAGGCCAGTTATCAGTAAGACAAACCAATTTTCTGAATATCAGAACATAAAATTTAGAAATTTGATGTATAAGTACTTTAGTCCACAAAAATAAGAAAACAGATTGTTCCTTTACAATGTGAATTTAATAATAACTTCCTTCTCTTCAAGACAAACACCCAAATCTCTCTGAAAATACCTTCCTTCTCATTCTGTGGTTTTGACAGGCAATTAAAAAAAATAAACAAACAGTAGTTAATGCTGAACTTACGTTGAATATGAATGAACTGCTTTGGCTGTTTAAATTCTCCTTTGTACAGACGACTGTAATAGTTGACATTACTTTCTGCTTCAGGAACTGGAATAACCATATTCTCTTTCTTTTCTCTGAAGACTTGCTGTGCTGAGATTGCTCTTTGTAAATGGTGTTCCTAAAAAAAAAAAGCATACTATTTTTATAAAAGCAATATCTTGTTTTATCAAATAGAAAAAAAAGCCTAAATTGGGGGAATGCTTCCTTTTAGGACACTAAAATACAATACTTGTCCTTAAATTTAGGACAATTTTGGAGAAATAAAAATCTTCATTAGGTATTTTCACACGAGGATATAAATTACATTTGGTGGGAAGGGAAGAGGGTGAATCCAGATAATATACAGCAAAGGCTTGACCTAAGTTCTTGATTGTTCCGCTAATTCAAAATATCTTCAAGATAAAAGTCTGGAAAAATTATTTACCCACTCTTCTAAAACCACAAATAAATAACATAAATATGTGTGGACAGGCATTCTAAAAAACAGCTTTAAGAGCAACAGACCATTGTAAAGTTTTTCCCAAGACAGATGTTGTGAGAAGAAGATACTTGGCAAAAAACAAAAATGTGTGAAGAATGGGGAAAGCAGAGCAAAGGCTGATGCTCATTTTCTGCAATGTAACAGAGAAATAATAAAACAGACTTAGCGTCTATGCAGGTTCTCAGTCATCTAGGTATGGTTGTCCCAAAGGTGCTTTTTTCAGGAGGCAACTGGACTTTCTTGTGTTTCTTTTGAAGACGTTTCGCTTCTCATCCAAGAAGCTTCTTCAGCTCTGACTAGATCAGGGGTAGGCAAGCCAAAACACTCAAAGAGCCACTTGGACCCATTTCCCACCAAAAACAAAACACTGGGAGCCGCAAAACCCTTTTGATATCTAAAATGAAGATAACACTGCATATATCCTTTTTTACCTTTATATAAAGGATATATGCAGTGTTATCTTCATTTTAGATGTCAAAAGGGTCTGTCTCTCTCTCCCTCCCTCTCCCTCTCTCTCTTTCTGCCCTTGGTCTACCAGTCCTCTTCCCCCACTCTCTTTCTTTCTCTCTCTCTTTCTTTCTCTCTCTCTCTCCCTCCCTCCCTCTCTCTCTCTTTCTCTCCCCCCTTCTCTCTCCCTCTTTCCGATCTTCTGCTCACCTGGCAAGCTGGCTTCAAGCTGTTCTCCAACAAGCTCAGGGGTAGGCAAATCTCAGCTCTTTTATGACTCATGGACTTCAACTCCCAGAATTCCTGAACCAGCATAGCTGGGCTAGCTAGCTCTCTCCTGCCCTTCCTGCTTCCTGTTTCCTGCTTCCTGCAGAGACGCAGCCAAGGCAGGAGCCCCGCCCAGAAAGCTTGTCGGCTCGTCGAACAGGGTGAGGCCACTCTCTTTTTTACACACACACACACACACACAGAGAGAGAGAGAGAGAGAGAGAGAGAGAGAGAGAGAGAGAGAGAGAGAGAGAGAGAGAGAGAGAGAGAGAGAGAAGGGAAGCGCAAATGCCTCTGTCTCTGTCTCTCTCTGCAAATGGCAGAGGAGGCTGGGAGCCGCAGGGGAAGGCTCAAAGAGCCGCATGTGGCTCTGGAGCCGTAGGTTGCCGACCTGTGAACTAGATGGTGGAGAGTGGAAGGATTTATGTCTGCTCAGTCTCCACCATCTAGTCAGAGCTGAAGAAGCTTCTTGGATGAGAAGCGAAACGTCTTCAGAAGAAACATAAGAAAGTCTAGCTGCCTCCTGAAAAAAACATCTTTGGGATGTTAAACAGAAACTCTTGCAGAACTTAAAGCTCAAACAGCATATCTAGTAATCAATATATTGAAACATTTAAATATTTTAAAATATTATTAAGGACCAGATCTAAGTCTCTCTCCTTATAACATAGAAACTAAGTTATTCCCTCTCAAAGTAAAAAAATAATTCCAAGATTCATTTTTAAAACAAATCCCTTTCCCCCACTTCATCAGACATGAACTCTAATACCACAAATATAAATGATCTATCTGTGCAAAAAAGAGATTTTTCAGTTTCTCAAGAGATCTTACATAATTTATTTTGAATCCTTTGTATACCCTTTACATTTCAATTTAGACTGCTTCTCACAATATTTCTATATAAACTTTTTAATACACATGAAGACACAAGAGAAGATTCCCTAAAATATACATAAGAAAGATAAGCAAATGTGCTACACAGGTAGTCCTCGAATTACACCCATTTGTTAAGTGAACGTTCGAAGTTACAACAGCACTGAAAAAATGGACTTATAACCATTTTTCACACTTACTACCATTGCAGTATCCCCACAGTCAGCAGTTCAAAATTCAGATACTTGGTAACTGGTTGATATTTATGATGGTTACAATGTCCCGGGTTCATGCAATTATCTTTTGCAACCTCTGACAAGCAAATGGGGAAGACAGATTAATTTAATAACCATGTTACTAACTTACTTAACAACTACAGTGATTCACTTAACTGTGGCAAGAAAGGTAGTAAAATGGGGCAAAACTCAACTGTTTCATTTAGCAACAGAAATTTAGGACTCAACTGTGGTTTTAAGTCAAGGACTACTAAGTATATAACTATATTTAGTAGAATATGTATCTATGAGATTGTTGAAAGTAAAACCCTCAAACAAATTAGCATTTTTAAAGTAACTTAGACATTAGAAACTTATATTACATAATGAAACAGAGATTAAATTCATGATTTGCAAAAGATCGTGTAATTTTGCTGCAAATTATCATTGCTAACTATGAACCAACTCATAGAAAACTATCTCCTGTAATCAATTTCTGAGCTGTTTCAAAGAATATCATAATTCAAGAAATTTCATCAATACAATTTTCAACTCTACCCAATAGTGTAACAGTTTCATAATAAAGCAGACTCCACTAAATGGGGCGTGTCTTACCTGTACGCCTTTTCTCAGCATGGAGAATGTAGAATCCACGAATGGGTTAAAGAAGTCCTCTAGCCCAATTAGACCAAACCAGTCAAGTTGCCATGCCCGTGCTGGACTAGGTCACGCCCCAGTTTCGAAGAGGGCAAAGCTAATGACTGCATGACGTGTTGGCTCCCAGACTACTGACACTGACCTGATTGCGGATTTAAAGGGGAGGGGGTGGATTCTACATTCTCCATGCTGAGAAAAGGCGTTCAGGTAAGACAATGCCCCTTCTCCAGCATGGAAAGAATGTAGAATCCACAAATGAGACGTACTAAAGCCCATGTGACCCTACGGGTGGGAAGCAGGCTGGTCTAGTGTCGATGCTGTCTGAACCACCGGTTGCAAGACTCGGCAGCCGAAGGAGGCCCCTGCAGATGTAAATTTATCAAGCTTATAATGACGAATAAAGGGTGAAGGTGAAGACCACGTCGCCGCCATACAAATGTCCACAATACATGCTTGAGTATGCCACGCAGCCGATGTAGAAGCACTGCATGTGGAATGTGCTGTCAGATGCCTTGGAACCGGCAAAGATTGTGCCTGGTACGACTCTGCGATACAGGCCTTAATCCACCTGGCAATGATAGAAGACCTTCTGACCCCTAGAAGCCGGGTGGAAAGAGACAAAAAGCACCTCCGACGTGCGAAAAGCAGTTGTCCGCTTAATGTAATATCGCAGTGCTCTGCGGACATCCAGGGAATGCCACTGCCGTTCCAAGTTATGTGACGGGTTAGGACAAAAGTCCGGTAGCACGATCTCTTGTGCCCTATGAAACAGGGTGTTAACCTTGGGAATACACGAGGGGTCCAGCCGTAGGACCACTCTGTCTTGGTGAAAAATGCATAGGTCTTCCCTGACGGAAAGAGCTGCTAATTCTGAAACGCGTCTCGCCGATGTAACCGCAACTAGAAAGGTCACCTTAAGAGACAAGTGTCGTAAACTGCAAGACCTGATGGGTTCAAAAGGAGACCTTGTAATAGCTTGTAGTACTCGTGGCAACTCCCAAATGGGGTAACAATGGACTACGGGAGGTTTACTGTTTGTGACCCCTTTGATAAAGGATTGAACCCTCGGGTGCTGAGACAACAGCGCGGAATTGGCACAGGTGAAGATCGTGGATAGGGCCGCCACCTGCCTACGTATAGTGTTGGGTGCTAGGCCCTTGTCCAGGCCTTCCAAAAGATATTCAAGTATCCGCGGAATGGTAACCGAGGAGATGGCCAAATTATTTTGTTCACACCATCGAAAGAAGTTTCTCCAAGTGGCATCGTAGATTCGATCCGTCGCCGGCCGCCGAGAAGTCTGAATCATTGAGCTCACCTCGAGGAGTATGAACCCCGTGTCAGGAACTGGCGTTCAGATGCCAGACGGCTAGCTGGAGCCACTGCGGGTCCGGGTGTTGTATGACCCTTTGTAACAGGACTATCCGATCTGGAGGAATCCTCCACGAAGGAGCTACAGCGAGGCTCACGAGATCCGTGAACCATGGTCGCCTTGGCCAGTGTGTGGCCACGAATATCAGCTCCGCTTTTTCCAGTAACAGTTTCCTAATGACTGCCGGAATCAGGGGGAAAGGTGGGAAGGCATATAGTAGACCCTCCGGCCAAGGACTGTGGAGGGCATCTGCTCTCTCCGACCCCTGAGAGGGGAAACGGGAGAAGAAACATGGGAGTTGGTCGTTCGCTGGAGAAGCGAATAGATCGATACTCGGTTGACCAAATCTCTACGCGATCTCCCTAAAGAGACGTGGATGCAGGCGCCATTCTGAGTGGTCTACCGTAGAGCGGCTCAGATAATCCGCCTGCCGGGTCGCCTCCCTTGAAATGTGCTCTGCCTTTAGGGAAAGGAGATTCCGCTCCGCCCATGACCCCAGTAACCGAGCCTCGGACATTAGGGACCGAGAACGAGTGCCGCCCAGCCGGTTCACATGGGCTTTCGCCGCCACATTGTCCATCAGGACCAACACGTGGCACCCCGCAATCGTGTTGCGGAAGTGGCGAAGTGCCAGGTGTATAGCCCTGAGTTCCAGCCAGTTGATGTTTTGTTTGAGGTCCCGCCGGGACTACCGGCCCTGGGCAAATTGAAGTTGGAGGTGTGCCCCCCCAGCCGAATAGACTGGCGTCCGTGGTCAGGGTTACACGAACGGGCTCCCTGAAAAGGGACCCCTTGGATAACGCCAGGGA